TAACCGTATTTGTCTTTTGCAGAAGAGTCTTCTAGCACCTTAGTATTTAAAATATTTCTTGAGAATATGTCTTCATAAAAACAATGTAACGGACAAACATAGCTGTTGATATTTTATGCACAGACACAACCATATGCAACATATTCACATACAAACATGTATATTCCTATATAAATAAGAAATGGAGAGATGGCATTGCATCCAAAGAGCTTTCAAATAAGAAAATGCATTATCTTTGGAATATGAATCTGTATATTATTTTGAACAGCACATGTATTTCATATTCTTTCTAATAAATGGATCTGCTTACCTCTAAACACTCATATTACAAAGAACATCAATATGCTAAGAGATAACACTTTCTGAAGGCCAAGCAAATCATACTACTTAGGACAACTTACCAGCAACAAATATCTTAAAACCAGCATTTAATTTTTCCAGAATGAACTGTACAACACTCACAAACACAGCCACATACAGTATTTATCTCCCAACAGATTTATTTTACCACTGATACATCTGAACAAATTAACAAGCAAAGCAAAATGATCCTTAACACATATGAAAAAAATATGAAAATGTCCCAACTGCTAATGTTTGCCATAAAATGGCCATCATTCATATCTTTGCTACAAGCTTCTCTTGTTAAGATGAGACTTACAAAAAGCCTCTTGAACCAAATGAACAGTGTTTTTTTTCCCCCCATTTACTGGAATGAATTGCTATTTTATTTTATTTTAAATATGAAGCTCAGAAAATTTGTAATACTTTTACAGGTAAAAAGATAATATTTTACTCTTGGACCATATAATTTGTAAGTAAATATAACTGTCTTTCTGATTTTAACTACTTTCTCATTAAAGGGTAACCAAATATTACACTAGCAGAATTACAACGGGGTGTTTTGTACTCAAATTGGAATCAAATATTCCTACTACATAGTATTTGAAAATCTAAACTTTTTCTGTGTAGAATATGTTGCGGCAAAATAAGGAAGCTTTCATAACCAACCTTTCCAATACATTCCAATTCTTCATTTTTTCCGACGAAAAGATGCATCCGTATTAATAGAAATATACAGATCTGATTTTAGTTTCCTCGTCTTACTTCTCATCTATCTATGAAATGATTGTTCCAGTAATAAAGTCATTGTGCTGATGAGAGAATTGAATCCACAATAGGAAAATTGTCACTTGTAATAATACTGGTGAGAAGCCAAATAAAGCAGCAGTACAAGATGTCAGATATTTGTGCTTTAATAAGATACAGTAACACAATGAAATTATGTCGCTAATTTTGTTGCAGCAGTAGATGAATTTAAAATTACTGTATAATGGCTCACAGATGAACAGACAACCCCAGTATTACTCTTAACTGGCTGAAAAGATATCTTCAAGAGTTTATCTCTTTTGGATTTGGAACAGGAGAGTAAAAAATGCTTTTACTCACTTCTGGCATTTTTTTTTTTTTATCATTATTCATTACTGCTGTTTTTGTATTATAGTCAAGTTCATTTAAAGTATTTTAGCATAGCCCTTAAGAGAAGCTGGAAGAAGGAAAATAATACCTTTTTGGGGATAAATGTAAAAAACTATTCAATCAGAAATAAAAGAAAAGGAAAAAGTATTCTGTTATTCAACCAATCAATAGGCATTATTTTTTTACTTTGAAACAGAACTGGGATGTATATGTTTCCATGTGTACATATACAAACGGCTTGGATTTAAATCTGGTCTCTGTCCAAATCAGTAAAGACCAGAAGTTAAAGGTGTCTGGACGCTGTCCACCTATCACTGATCAAAGTGACCTAAAGAAGAGCCTTTGAAAAAAAAGTTAAAATATATGTTCCTTGAAGTTATCTGCACTTATTTTTGTACACAGGACATTCCTTTCAAAGGATCTGCAGACCAGTTGGGTTTATGTCTTATTTTTTTAAAGGTACAAAAGTAGAACTGGTATAAGGTTAAATGTGCATTTTTAAAACTTTAGAAACAAGAAAGCTGTGAATCTCTAAAGCTAAATGTTCTAATATATCCCGTGAATAGCTCTCATAGCAAGAATGGTTTACCTCTATACATTCTTCTAAGACGTATAGCAGGTAAATGAAGATACTTGACAGAAGCACATATAAACTTACTTATATTTATGCAATTATTTCTTTCTAGTATATATATTCTGAAAAAAAAATATCTTAATATAAACTAAGAATTTTTACTGCTCTCCAAGTACCTGTTGGTTTTCTATCACAGTGCCACATATTTACTTCAAATTGCCTTTAAAAAATTTTGAAATCTCCTTCCAGGTAGGAATAAAATTTATTCTGTGCATTCTATACAAAATCTGTTTTATTAAACTATTCAAAAGTTTTATTTGCAGTGCATGTATCTATTTTATCAACAGCTTCTTCTAAGCTATCAATCACTGTCATACTAAATCAATCCTAGGGACAAGGGGGATGAATATGACCCACATAGCAACAAAAAAGTTTATGGTTGAGGTTGTCAGAAATATGTTCAGATGCATAGCAGTTGCAATTGATCAGTTAAATACACTGGATACACAGAAATAGTATCTTGGAGAAGAATTAGAATTTTGAATACACCGTTACCCATGAAATGGAATCAATTAACTCTTTAAAAAAGAGCAGGAATAAAAAAAAAGAAAATCAAGATTCTTATATGCATTCAGGCAGACAACAGCATTCTAACCAACACTGGCACAAAAGCAAAACATACTTTTTAAAAAAATCCATACATTCAGCATTACCATTCAATGCTACTGTCTCTGCAAGTGTATTTCAGTGGAATGATCAACACTGAATACAGCATCTGCCATGCATTTAGTCATATACTATACATACTATTATTCCTTTTCCAACACAGTCTCAGGAAAATAAACATGACCATATGTGTCCAGTAATGAGGGGAAAAGGAGAAACAAATCTTTATGCTCAACAAAACTAACAACCCCCCAAATTAACAACTGAATAGTGGATAAACTCGCATTTTTCTATCAGTTATATTTGCCTGCTCATTTGCCTAGAGTAGTCTTCCTTTTACTTGTTGAACTCTGGAGCCTGACATCTACCACTTTCTATTATTCCAAAAACTATGAATGACTTTCACTACAAAAGTCAAACACTCAATGGGCAGTCTTACAAGAAGTATGTGGTTCAAGAGTAATTTACCTATATGGCTTTAGCTGGGTTAACTCTTGTGTTGCCAAAACAAGAGGGGAAAAATTACTACAACTATGAAAGTTCTAATAATATGAGGATATTAAAAAAGAATGACAGTTAGGTTAGGATGGATATATGACTAGAAAATGAATGAAAAACTAAGAGAGATGCAATAAACTAACATATAATGTACTGCATTAGTGTGTAGCATGTAATGTGAGAATTGTTCTTTTCATTTAGTCTCTGTAAAATATATGTTGCCTTTTTAGCTTAGGTTGATTATATTTCTGTACAGGAAGCTGGTATCACTTGTAATCAGGGTCCCTCTACAGGATAAATCTAAATATACTTTATTTAGAACACAGCCATCCTATGGAAAGTACATGTGATATTTAAACTCTGTACACAACTATTCTACGTTATAAACTATATTAGTTCGTAAAGATGTTTTCTTTTTCTTGACTTTCCAAAAGGTATCAGTATTTGCTTTTTTCTTTTCACTAAAATAACAAATTATGTCCCTTTTGCTGCAAGAGTGGTAAAGTGAGAGTCATATTCATGTCAATGGAATTCATTCATTAAAAAAAACTGACAATAAAAGACCTCTCTGAATAATAAAAACATAGCTTGCAACTTTTGATTGCTTCAGCTTCTTGAGTAAGGAGATGTGAAACAACTTTTCAAAAGAAGTAATTTAAAAAGAAAAAAAAACCTAAGAGGGAACAATTAGCATATGCTTTATATTTTTTTAAAAGTCTTCTTTACAAATCCTATTTTTTTCTTTAAGTGGGTTTACACTGAAATCTCACCCCCCTCACCTTCCCCCTCCTCCCGGCCGCCCTTTCAAACTCTGTGTGATTATTTCATGCAGTACATATTTTACAGAGAAGAAGCAAAAGAATTGCAAAAGAGAAGCCACGGAGTTCTGGGCCCCGTATCATTAAGAGTTTGGTACCAATACACCTACTAGCTCTGTGATTAATTATCCGTTACTACTGGTCTTGCAAGACCATTTTAACTTTCCCCGTCCATACCAGCCTCTCTTAAATGCAGCCCCAGGTTAAAGAACTGCTCGAGGGATAACACACCAGGATACAACTCCAGAGAAACTGTCTTAAGAAAAAAGAGAGAGACAGCGAGAGAACAAGCAGCAGCTGGAACTGTTTCATCCAAGGACCCTCAGCTCTGTGCTAGCAGGAATTCCAACACAATCGCTTTGTCCTCTTTAGGATCCGGACACACTGTTTTCTTCCACCTGTACTCAATTAGACTGTTTTGCTTCCCCTCCCCAAGTTTAGAATTAGTTTTCATAAAGGGACTTACATATTCGGGGGAGGGGGGGTGGTAAAAAGGAAGAAAGGACTTTTGACTGTAATAGTGGGAGCTTTTTTTAAAAAAAAGTTTAAAAAGGAGGAAGAAAAGAAAAACGAGGAGGTTGGGATAAAGAAAAGAAGACAAAGGCAATAAACCAGGATAAATAATCTCACTGGAAAACTTTGAGAAGGGAACTTGATTATTATTATTTTTAAAGCAGTATTAGGCTTCCTTATTTGCTTCTTTCTATTTTTTTTTTTTTAGGAGCCCTTGAGGGATGCACCGAAGTCAACCCAGACATACCAAAGAGTAAGTTATGACATTACAGAAACTGTATACAGCAGCAGCACTGAAGTGAAAGGAACATAAAAATGCAAATGATAAAAAGGATGAAATGCAAATTTTTAAAAGAGACAAAAGTATGCACAAGCCAGCGACGACAGCAGCAGCAGCAACAACAACAAAAGTAACCTTTCCACATGTGACAATGAAAAGGAAGCCTCCTTACCTGCTGGGACATTCTGAACAAGAGGTTAGTGTCAGCGTTCTGCCATGTCCCCATGAAACCCGACTCGGAGGTGGTTGCCGTCCTTGTTGTTCCGAACTGCATGGAGTTGTCACTGCAGGAGTCTCTTAAAGTCAAGCCTCTTGTCCTCTTTCGTTCTGTTTGTCTCTGAATGTCTCTGTCTCTCACATCCACTTCTGCCTCTTCTGACTGAAAAGTGAAGGTGGATTTTTTTGAGTCTCTTGGCAGCCAGTAGCAGGAGTGTGGTGGTGTTAAGCTAGCTGCGTTGTGCATTTCATCTGGGGAAGAGGGGCTTTGGGGAGGGGGCAAGAGCTTCTTTCGCACCTTCTGCACAGTTACCCCTATCATTTATGCATACCCTGTGACTCCCAAACCTCGCCTTGGCTTGGTTTTACAGCTGCCTGTCAGGTGTGCCTGATGCACTGAGGAGAGACCCAACCATCAGCTTCATACTCTCAGCCACTGGATGTCATTGGATAGCAGAGCAGAAGAGAGTCAACTGCACCGTTCCACTGTCAGGCTCCAAATGACATCTTGCATTAGCCCACTTCGGTCTTAACAAACACATGCACCTTCTCTAAGTCGCCTGCTGATCGGAGGAGAACAAGCCGTGGCCCTTTCCCTGTTTTCTTTTAACAATCCTGTCAAGAACAGCGTGTAATTGCTGACACTTCCCTGTTAAATGCAGACTGTAAACCTCCTAACAGAGAGGAGGGAAGAGGGCAAATCAAGCCCTCACGCGCGTACAGACAATAAGCATGCAGAATGCCGCACAAAGTTGATGTGACTTTAATGTAAATACACACATATACTGGCACACACCTATTAAAGACCGAAACGGATGTCACAGCTACTTTGCAATCATCCCAGCCCAAATTCCTCAACAACAACAACAAAAGCTCTTACCAAAAAAGAAGGGGGAGGTGGAAATAAGATAGTCTTAAAATTCTTTTAAATATAAAACTAGAACAATTACATATATGTTTCATCTCTCACAGCTTTCTTCTCTCCCTCTCCTGTTAACTGCCTAAATGCCTTCAGGAGCCAAAGTCAGAGGAAAAGAAGTGTCTCCCTTCTTTTCTGTAAAGATTAAACGTCTCTTTCTTTCTTTTGTCCTATTTAAACTTTACAGATGAAGACTGTATAACAGCCTTTAACAACCTAAAGGAAAAGGAAAAGAAGACAGGAGGAGCAAAACAGTTTCATCCCAGGAAAAAAAAGACATATTTCTATTAAGATAAACTAGTGTTTATGAGAGATCACGAGAAGTCAAAAAGCCACTGGTATCAACAACTTTTTAAAATCATCTGTATTTAGAAGAACACATAGTATTTTCCCATTGATGATATGTAGTTTGCTGTCCTATGAGGAAAAGCTGGAAGGAGGGGCACGGAGGAGAGAGAGAAACAGAAAGAGAGAGAGAGAGAGAGGGAGGGAGGGAGGGAGGGAGGGAGAGAGAGAGAGAGAGAGAGAGAGAGAGAGAGAGAGAGAGAGAGAGAGAATACCTACATAGAGTACACAAATACGGCAACTTTAAAAAAGAAATGTAAAGCAAAATTCATGCTCCCTGATAAAATCAACTTGCATTAAAAAAAAAAAAGAGGAATCTTGCTTGTCTCAACTGAATGTGTAAGGAACATTCATCTTCTAATAACGTCTGCAATTTAAGAGGACAAAGGTACCACTCCTGCAGTTTTTTCCTTAACTAAAGAACAATAATAAACCTTATCCTCCTCAAAAGCAACAAAAGGATCACGAGAAAGCTTCAATGGCAGCCTGGTGTCATTAGAGCACAATGAGAAAAGATGAGGAAGTGTGCACTATGTTGACACAAATGTGTCTTCCTCTTTAGATCCTGGCATCTCCTGAAAGCTTTTCTGTTAAAACTTCCCTCCAGTTCACCGCCATTAAGCACACAAAAGTCTCAAAAGCTGCAAATTCAATATCTTAGCAGCAGAAATGAGAACTCAAAGAACTGTTGCCTTAAAATATATTAAGTCCACCTGCAGTCAAGAAAAATATTCTTGTTGCGTGGAATGGGGATGGGGGTGCAAAAAAAACCCAAACAAACAACCAAAAACAAACCGAACAAACCATGTGAGGCAATTGTGCCAACAGTGGCTGTACCTTTATAGCTAACTATTACCCACTTAAACTCCTTCTCAAATTTGCTAGCCTCTTGCTTTCTGAAGTGGCACTCAGACCCTTAGTCAAGCTGCCTGTTCAGCTCCTGACCTTCCGACTAATGGCTGTTATTTGTGGGAGGCTTAAGGACAATGTCAATAGCCAGCTCCCCGGTTCTGCATCTCCTACGCAGTGTCTTTCTTTCCCTCCTGTCCTGCAGTCCTCCCCACTCCCGGGGAGAGAGATGGGGGGGGAGGAAGGAGGAGGGAGCAAAAACCCACGCACACAAAATCAACTGGCATGCAGCAGCAAGCACCTGCAGTAATAGACTCTTTTATTAAAACTGTTATTCTGCAAGACTTGAAAATCCCAGTGGACTGGGCCATGTCAAAGCCGATATAATTAACTAGAGGCTCAGCAACGGATCAATTACCAGACAAGCAAGTGATAGTGAAATCAATGAAAGATCATCAGCCACATTATCAGTGTTGCAACTCATTAGGATAAAACTGAGAAATGTGCTCAAAGCCAGCCCAAGCAAGGTGGCATTACAAAACAAAGGGCTAATTTAGAGACCCTGCTGTGAACAATCTGTAACAGAATTAGCCTTTTTCCCCCCTAAACGGCACAGCTCTGTAACTAAATGTGACAGTCAGAGAGAAGCAGTTTATTAAGACACCAACTCCAAGTTTATTTAGTTCATAAACTCTCTCCTAGAAAATCAATACAGTCTGCACAGGGTTATTAGGCTGACTAGCTAATACATCCAAATCTTTTCTTCCCAAGCAGCATCTAACAGAGAGAAGAAAAATTCTCAACAATTGCAGGGGATGGCACAGAAAAAAAACTTACCCTACAAAAGCCACGTCATGGCATACAGCAGTTATACACAGTCCAGAAAGGGACTGCTGAGATCACACCGAGGAAGCTAACAAAACAGCATGTTACAGCTTCCTCACCACTAACTACATTTAATGCTATTAAATAAATAATTGTTCTAATTAGGTATGTTAAGAATTAAGAAGTAAACCAACACATGCCAGTTGTCTCCAGTTCAAAGTATAAGACACCAATCATTACAGGAATAACAAAAATCCTTACAATAGTAAAACACACAAAAATTACATTAAGGATTCTCTGCTGAAGCTGATGACCTTATCCACGCATGTAACTGAGAGTGACACCATTTGGATAAAACAAGATATATACATTCATATCGCACCACCCTATAGTATTTTTTTAAAACTTAGAACCTTATCTGAAAACTGTTCAGCATGAATGGATGGCGAGATGTAAGAATTGTACAAAAATGTATTTCACCGCATGCGTATATAGTGAACATATTTTAGGATGCCTAAGGCGCTGACATAAATACAGCAAAATATACTAATGTGGCAACCCATATTTAGTTGTATGGTTTTTCATAGAAATAATAGACTTCTCAATAGACATCTTGTACTACTTGAAATGCCCTTAACATAATTAAAAATGACTCGTTAATTTGCTCTATAATAATATTCTTTATATTCAATCTCCAATGTTAATATTTCCCTTTGAAATTAATTATTTTTTTCCCTTGGTGCAAAGAAATTGTTACGATATTTTTTTTAAAAAAAATATTGTCTCATAAATATAAGTACCTCACCTGACATTGATACATTTTTGGTTACACTTCAATAATCATAAACACTACAAATTTACTATTATCATAGTTTTTTGAATTGAGCCACCATAGGTCATGTTTCAAAAAAATTATCTTGAGCAAACATTTAATAGATTTCTACTATCTAAACTAGCTCTGTTCTCCAGGGTCAATATTTTGCAGTCTTTAAATATATTGTAAAATGAAAGAATTATCATAACATTTTTTCATGATAGGATTGCTGCTTAATGAATGATAGTCTTCCAGGTATATAAGAAAGAGAGTAACATAATTCCCTGAATACAATATTATTTTGATATCAGTTTTAATTTTAAGAAGAACAATACCTCTGTATTTCCACAATTAGGTGATTGCTACTTTATATGCCTTATATTCAATGCATATTGTACTTTAACTTTTCTAAATTTTTGGTCAATTATTTATTCATCTTTATTGTAACATTATTATGTTTAGTTAATTAGAAATTGCACATATTTAAAAATAAAAAAAATGTCCTTGTGCCTCACTTATTTTATTCATAGTTATCTCTATCAATAGAAGCAACATGAATTATCTTTAAGGATCAACAGCATATACAAATCTTTACATTTTTATTTTCATATAATTCAGATTTTAATTAGGAAAACAAACATAGATTTTTAATCACTTTGATGTATATGCACTGTACATACACATTCAAAATTTGCATTTTAGTTACTATGAGCATACAAGATTGAGGGGAAAGAATGCAATTGATTCTCTAATCACAAGAAATAATGGTTTTCACACCCTATAAAGATTGCTATAAGCATTAATTCCCACAATTAATTGTTTACCTCTTGTACTGAGGTTTACAATATTTGTTTTCCTAATTTGTATATATTTACTATACATATAGAAAGTTTTGTTAAAGAAGAAAACATGTTTAGGTAGGTTTGCACAAAATTGCAAAATGAACCTTTCATTTGAATGCCAGGGAATGGAAATCTAGTGCAGAGTCAAGAACCCTCCCAAAATATTATTCCTATCCATGGAGAAGCAAAGAAGAAATAAAAATATGTTGAAGAGTTCCCTGAGGTCAATCGAATGCATGCAGATATACCATCTGATTAGGAGCATATATATATATGCTATAAAATTAGGAGCATATATATATATATATATATAAAAGAAGCTTTGGCTTCTCTTACTCATGTACTTCAAAGTGAAGATTCTTCCATAACAGAAAGCCAAATTTAGTATACTTCAAAAAAAATGCTTTATATAAAAAAAGTTATATCAGAGGAACATTTAGCAGTACAAAAAAAAAAAGAAGAAGAAAAATCCTACCATGGAAGTCATGCTATCTCCATTTTTTTTTACACATTCATCAGCAAAACTTTTTGACTTTTAAGCTAACTTGCTGACTTTAATCTAGTGGGTGTTGCTATTTATCTTAAAAACACATCAATAAGTTGAGTTTCAATGTACTGATTATTTCGCTATTTTTTAAAAAATGTATATTTCATGATCTTGAATGCCTGTTTTGTAAAAAGAGAGCAATAAATAATAAAGAAAGGAAAGATAAAGAAAAAGAAGCAATCTTCATCTCGTATTCTCTGAATAACTGTACATACATAAAAGTAATAATTAAAAATAGACTTACAATGAATTTTTAAATGACTAGGTTAAATACGTATTGGAATGTAGCCATACTGGAATCCCTCTCTGAGCACATAAGCTAGAAAAGCAGAAATCACACAGAAGTAAAAATAGGTGTGAGCTTTCTCCTTATCACATTGACTAAGTGATGAATCGAGTTTTAGCAGCAGCTAGAAATATATTCAAGATTTGAAAAAAGACTAGCTTTACTAGGGGGAAAAAATTCATTGGCAGGGATTGGGTATAACTGTTTGAATGCACTTTTTGAGACACATACGTGTTTGCTAAGAATTCTGTATGCTTTTCATGCATTGATTTACTGTACACGAACTGAAATCTCAGAGTCTGCATTCAGTTGCTAGAATATTTTTTTATCAGTAATAACAGTGTAATGCCCTTTATCCTCCCGTTATTAACTATTCATTTTCTAGG